TAACTAATTCATATCTTCATATAAAGGTCACATTACAAGGCTCATATTGTTTAAAATTAAACAAAGTTCCTTCATTATGATGAGGGTTAAGACCTTTAATACAGTGTGTAATTAGGGTCCCATTCATTTCAAAGACAAACAATGCTAGTTGTATGTCTGTTACTTATCTTTGGATCGATTGTGACGACAAATAATAAAACAAGTAAATTCTTGTTCACCCAAAATGTTAACGAAATAATGATGTTACAGTCATTGATCTCTCTTCTCTTTTAATTGGAAATGATATTCATTGTTAACTCATAATTCAAAGATAGCAATTCTCTTCTTAGTACTCATAATCTAAAATGCACAAATTCTAATAAATGTACATCGAATTTCTATTTAAATTAACTAACTATGTATTAAATGTAGTAGTCTTAATAATCAAACAATCAATTATTTAATCTGCAGAACGGTGTATTACTTTCATTCAAAAAATATTTATAATTGAAAGATAGAAAAAAGAATGACATCCTAATATTATACTACAGTGATTGTTAAAACACCATGTCATCCTAGAAGACAATATGTTACCTTATCCCTCTTTATAACCCTCGTTCAAGCATCAATAACTTCGTAGAAATTGGCGTGATTTCATCTCATCTCTTCATCCTCTGCAGTAATAAGGATGTCCATCTCGAATTACCGTCAATAATGCGAAAATGCTTTTCTCGTCGCTGCACTTGTAATTGCCAATTTACGAGTTAAAGTCAGACTTTGATGAATAGCCTTGAATACGGAAACATTCATGCGAAGGCATTAATTACTAAATGGTTGCTTTGTGTAGTGCAAGTCCAATTTGCCAAGACATGCATAAGATGGAGGAAGATATTCAGAGAGTATATTACACAACAATTTCGTAATGAAGTGACTTTAAAAGCACACTAGCGCCATTAAAAAAATGGATTTCATTTCATAGTTCACCCAGAAAAAGAACAGCAAAATCCGAAAACCTCGTCCATTGCTATCTGACCCAATTACATCATAAAGAGATGAAACCTCATTTGACTCACGGTAAACGACACTAGTGCACTGCAAAATGGACGTCCATCGTAGAAAAAGTAAAAAACTTAGTGAAAATTATGAAATATTTTATGAAGCTTCACTAAAAGATATTTCAGTCCGCTCTGACCCAATTAAATAGCGTCGGTCTATTTTTAAAGGTTCTAATAGATTGTTTCTGTTTCAGTATACGGACTGGGAGGAAATTACCGATGGTTATCTGAACCAAAAAATGATTGCAGACGTGGTGGGAGACTACTTCTTCGTGTGCCCCACTAATTACTTTGCGGAAGTGTTGGCGGATTCGGGCGTCGAAGTTTACTACTATTACTTTACCCACGTAAGTATTTTGTATTTATAAGTAGATATTTTTATTATAGCTTGATCGTTTCTACCCGATGGATTTAGCAGCAGACGTTGTGCGGCTGATTTGATGATATTTTTTTATCACACTGAGCTTCGAAAAAATTAAAACAATATGAATATTGATTTTTAAACTGTCCAACACCGAGCGGTCACCGGTGACCACAAGTTGTTTTTTTTTCTTCTATGGCAATTGAGTAACCTATTGTTCTATAATTGTGTCTATAATGACGGTACTTGACGAGTTAAATTCAAATTCTGGCCCATCGTTCTAAATACAAACAAAGAAGAAAAATAATTCGAGACCTAAACGAAGCCATCAAAGTGTAGTGGCCAATACACATGAAGGTTAAACATCTCTAGACATTCCTGTGACGGAGACGCACTTCAAACTGTAGAACCAGTCCGGGGCTAACACGTTAATTTGGCTAACGAACCAAACATGAGTGCCCTTACACTTTGCCAGGAACATCTGCTTTTTGCTTTACCACTACTTTTGAATAAAACTGAACAGGTACATTGAGATGTATTTCGATTTTTTTTTTTCATTTATTTTAATGATTTGGGATTGTTTGATAATACATTTTTAAACTTCATTTATTAATTTTTATTGGTGTTTCAAAGGTTTAAATGCAATTAAGAAGGAATTGTTAAAGTTTCGATGTATAGTTTATCTTTTAGGTACGGCACGTCTATTATGTCTAATTCAAAGTTTAGTTTTAAATTGCTATTTTTTAGAATACTTTTGAATACCTCGTTGGCTGAGTGGTCGCAAGAGCGACTACAAGGGGTGTAGGGTTTGATTCCCGGGCCCGGCAAAGTATTATTGGGTTTTTAAAAAATCTCAGGAGTTTGGAATTGTGCTCGGTATATGGCAAATAAATACAGACTAATAAATACAGAAGTGTAAACCGTTGTGATATCTCCAAGGAACAACAAGCATTATTTAATGTAATGGAACGGTAATAATAATTATTTTATACAACGTAATAACTCGAAATATCGTCGCTTACATTTCTCACCATTATTAGAAACCAAGGCCTAATTTATAAAACAATTACTTTCTCGACTCTCAAATCGTTAAATGTCACGAAATTCAAAGTTAGTCTCAAGGATTTATGAAGGAAACGAACAAACAGAGGCTTTCCATTTAAATTTATTATTTAATACGGTAATACATACTTACTGGAGCAACGACCTTACTATGGAAATCATATATGAAATTAGATACCTACTCATGTATCATTTTGTTGTGTGTTTGTGTTCTTGTCTACGTGTGTGTGTGTCATGACGTAATAAAGGGTTTTCTCTTCATCTTTTTTCTTTTATACATGTTTCATAATAAGGATGCAATCAGTAAAAATAATTTAGGTATCTGTTATATTTATTTTGAATTTCATTTTTATTGCCAGTTGCATAAGACTAGAATTTCCTTCTATATTGTAGTTGCCATTACAAATATTCCTATCCTACCCTAAGTTGGAACAAATAGATTGCTTTGCATGGAATTCAAATTCGTTAATCGTCTCACAGAACTCTTTAGTCCAGCCTCTATATTCATTATGTGGTAGGGTTTGTTATTCTACATCATACAAATTACTATTTACTGATCAACATCAGTTAACTAAAAACCAAGGACTCATGCTACAAGCGAAGTAGCAAGCGACAATAGCTTCACTAAATAATTGTGAAACTCTTAGTACTACAACAGTAACTGTCAATATATTGGGTTAAAAGCTAAGTAAATATTTAAGTTTGACACATAAAGCTCGATATAATACCTAGTTCACTGTCTATTTTAGAAATTGAAACTAGGTCACTATTCACTAATTGAATTGATTGGCTACAGTGGATATAGAGGACGTCAATAATTCAAACGAATTTATTCCTTATCTTGTAGTACATGTTAAATACTTGAAATAGGGGGGAATTGTAAATAAAACTACCTCTTTACTGCCTCGTTGGCCAAGTTATCGCAAGTGCGTCTGTCGGGCAAGGGGTCACGGGTTCGATTCCCGGGGTATATATATAAAAATTCTGGGTATTTACTCTAGATTTATGCCCTATAAAAGATGTCTAGGGTTAACAAATTAATTTATAAACGTCATAATAGATTTAAATGGCAATTTATGTGGCGGTAAAAAAAAATTAAAGCCAAGCATTGCTCAACAACTTTAAAAACATTATCAGATAAAACTACCCCCCAAATGCATAAATCTTCTCCATCCACGAGCGGACTGCTCTAACCTCAAATAAATTAGGATTAGAACAGAAGAATGATGATAGACGCTAGTTAATTACGTTGACAATAAATACACGCAAAACATAAATAAACAAACAAACTACGAGCATTATTAATTATTCTCAATTTCAAAAGATGCTAGTCTTGTTAAACGTGTCAAGTTTTATGTGCTAAAGAAGATTAATTATATTAATTCTTCTGTTTCGTCATTCGCAGCTGCTTGGCAGTCCACGTGTACATTTAAAACAAAGGAAAATAATTAGCTATCGAGAAAAATGTAAAGCCAGGAAGCTAGCAGTCTGACACGTTTCAGATTGTGTTATGAATATATTTAGGGAGATATTTTTCCTTCTTTTGACGAGGATTCAATTATCTTTTGGCCAATATTATAGAGTAGTGTATGTTGGACGGCGAAATATTTAAAAATGATTGGGACGTACTATTTTCAGTAGTAGACGTCTTGTGGTTGCTATGGAGATGATATATTATGGATAAATCGCTAGTTAGTATTTAATTACTTATTGAAAGACTACAGTTAAATCCCAACTTCCAAGCACAAGATCTTGAATCAGAGCAACCAATGGTTAGTGTTACTGTTCTGATTTAATTCAGTTATGAGTTAATAAAGACTTTTTTACTACAATATTACGTTAATGTTCATCCCAAAAAGTTAGCAAAATATTCTCAAGCCTCGTTATTTTTTTCATACAGTATTTAACTGGTATCATAAAGTTTAGTCCTCTAAAAGAGACGGAGCTTAACTAATTCTGATGTAGGCATCTGGCTTATAGTGACGGGACAAAAAACGGTAAAAGTTAAATGATCCTATTACGAGAACTTTTCTCTCGAAAAACTTTGAACCTATTACGCGAGCCAACTAGTCTCGCATGTAATATAAAATGTTTTAAAATGGTCTATTAAAACTCTTTCAGGGACGATGTGTTGCAGTTGGACTATATTTTGAGGACATAGGATAGTGGAGGATAGTACATATTTCAGGGAATGATATTTACGTGTATGTTTTTTGACATTTTTCTTAATCTGTCAAAAATACTGTTGATTGGCAGGCACTAGGCAGGTGTATGAAGTGGCAGGCCCAATAATATTTCAACACTGATCCTAAGAGGAATCATGCTACTATCAGCGGATTTGTGGCACGTATTCCAACCGCAACTGACGGCAAGAATAGCACCAATACATATTTCATGTGTCGTCAAGTGCGGTATTCAATTGCATTGGCATTGTCCGCGCATCTCGCTCCACCCTCACATCGTTTCACTCCCTTTGTCATTCAATTCTGGTGTATAACCACTCGACATGCCCCCATTGTCGTCGACGTTGAAATTTTCTCACGTTTGCCTTTTGTCAAAAATATTGGGAGTTACATTGTTCAATTTACGGATGACTTCGTCTCAGAATTGTTCACGTGGGTTTTGATTCTTCTCTTACAACAAAATTACATTACAATTGTTTTGCTTAGGAAAGTAAGGATTCCAGACCAGTATCTTAAAAAAAAATCAAGGTAACACGGTCATAATTGGGGCTGGCTGCAAAATAAAACGCCACTTCCAGTTTCCGTTGGACTAAATAAACAGATTTGATATAATAACGTTACAACTAACCCATCAACAAACTGTTCAAAAATAAAACAGACTAATTAACTATTAAATTCACTAAATTGATGCTGGATCGGCAACGCGGCAACGGCCATAAATTATGAATTTTGTAAAACGAGTCGAGGCCAAAACAAATAATAATTTCGAAATCAGAACGACTATTTGGTGTTTTGTTTTTATCCAGCCAGTATTTTATAATGGCGGTTACAATTATGTTGTTATGAAATCTGGTTTCAGTTATTATTTGTTTATTTAAAGAGTTCATTTGATTTTATTTTTGTTTTGGATTATGTAGTTAATTGTAATGTAATTAAAAGTATTGTTGTAATCATTATGCTTTCTAAAGTCTAGAGTTTCTTCTTCGTTTTTGATAATTACAAAGACCATTAACTTTATGCTCTATATTTTTTTAATTACATTATGTAGGTAAAATCAATGAGTTTATAGTTTGACTTGGGAATTGGGTCCTGGGAGTCAAATTTAGTAGTAAATTTATTCGCTATGAAATCAAATATATTTCTAAACACAATTTCAGGAAAACATGCACAAACCGCATAATGATAATCCAACCCAAAACCGAAACATCATCTAACCTGAAAAAGCAAAAAATTACAAAAGAAATATGAAAGAAAAACGTGGGCTCGTCCATCTGCAAACCAACTTAAAATGCAAAAGGTGTCCGCAATGATCCTGATATAAGAATATCGAGATAAATGGCGACTATAAATCAGGAAGTCGGAGCTCTGAGGGCCTAGTGTGAGTTTGTTTCACGTTTAAAGAGATGAAAACGTTACAGCGTTCAGCACTCTGATTGGCCTGCTCCATTGAACCAACCAATCAGAGTGCAGAACCCGAAAAAAACTTGTAGTAAGCCCTCAGAGTTCGCGATTTGTCGTCGAAATACCGATTTGATGGATATAAGAACTACTTTCTAGGTCAAGTCACGACGAACAAACAAACTAGCCCTCGAGCTTTTGATATGAAACATTATGAATACTAAATAAGTTTGCTTTGAAGTCTGTTAGCGACAATCGATTGCATGATTGCTACTTCGTTATCGTGTTCTTCTATTGTAATAAGAATAAACAATATTGTTTAGTTGTCAACAGATATAATAAC